GAATAAAAATACTATTGATGTCATAGATTGTTTTGAAGATTAAATTAGATAATTAAAAGTTCTTAGTACTATGCCTAGCAACATGAGAAGAGCTCCACATACTTATGATCATAATAAGCTGCTGAATTAGTGGCTTAGTTGGGGTTCCTGCCTCTCAGTTCAGTATACTTTCCCTTCTTGGAAGTGCTTCTTTTCCTGGATGGGGCCCCCATTTTCCTCTTTTCCCAGTTAGCCAGTATTATTTTCTTTCCTTCATCTCCTATGTTTGAAGATAATTACATGATTACGTATTTCTTTTTTTCAAGCTGAAGATATGTACTCTCAGCATTTCACCTCTTACCACATTTGTAAAGACTTTCAGGAAATTTAAAATTTAGTCATTCCTTTTAATTGTTTATGGCACTTTTAAAGTTAAGTAGTCTCACAGAAGTGGACTCTTTTTTTTTTTTTTTGTAGTTACAATAATGTACTTCACTTCCCAGCACAAGTGCATTAAGTGCCACCCTGCCTTGGGCTGGGCTTAAAAGGAAAGGAAAATTCCCAGACAATCAGAGAGGAGATAAATATTCACACATCTCTATGTACATAAATTCTAAATCGCCCTCCGTATCCTGACTTGTGCTGTGGGAGGTGGAGCCCCTTTTCTGTGGATTCTTTGAATCAGTAGGACATCTACAGGATACCACCAGATGAAGGGAGGTGAGTGCCACACTTACTTAGAAGACTGATAACTCAAACCCTTGCAAAGTAGGCCTCTTTTTCTATTATGTAAGGGTCTTTTTCTGCTTTATTTAGTGAAATTATGGGTGAGAACCCACCACTTGAAGTATTCTTTGGTTAGACTGGTTGTGGATAGTTACAGGACACCTCATCTATTGGTAGTTAATGTTTTAAAATTCTAGGGCAGAAGTGGGAGAGTCATGGCTGTCAGAGGTCAGGGGCTGGGGGAAATATAGGAACATAACAGATTTATTTTTCTGGAGACTCTAGGCTAGAGAAAATTAGACCCAGGAGATTCAGAGGAAAATTCTGTGTATTAGTGTTTTGTGGCAGGAGGGCTGAGGGAGAGTCAATCACTAATAGCTACTGCTTGATTTTGGGGGCAAGAGTCTAGGCTTTGGGATAAGACACTCTTGGGTTTGAATCTCAGCGATGCCACTTCCAAACTATTATATATGCTATTTGGACTAGTTACATATTATCGCTGAGCCTCAACTTCCACATGTGTGAAGCGGAGATTATACTCTACAGGGATTTTTAGGAAGACAAGATATAATTTGTGTAATGGAATTAGCACTTTGTAGATTCTCACTATCACATCATGATTGCGTTTTTGCTAATCTTGCTGCTGACCATCTCAGAATGTTCTGTGTATGAAGGCAGCCTGCACCTCAATGGGTTTATAGGCTTTGAAATGGAATGTAGTTATCTGATAGCTCTTTTAAAAAAAAAGAGACATAATTGATGTATAACATATTAGTTTCAGGTGTACAACAACAATAATTCAATATTTGTATATATTCCAAAATTATCACCACAGTAAGCCTAGTTAACATTCACCATTATACATAATTACAAAAAATGTCTTTCTTGTGATGAGAGATTTAAGATCTAGCCTCTTAGCAACTTTCAAATATACAACACAGTATTATTAACTATAGTCACCATGCTGGTACTCTTTCTCTCATCTTGGCCAAGGTATGTAATCAATTTCCTCCTCCAAAAAGAGAGATACTATTCACTTATTAGGCTGAAATTGCCAATATTTGACTGTTTTTGACTTACGAGAATAGCAATTGCATGAGAGTCAACCAAAAAAATATCTGCCTCATTTGTCTCGAAGGTGACAAGGATCAAATGAGTTATAATATATTTGAAAGTGCTTTGTAAATATAAGGTCATTATTACTATTACTATTATCACTGCAGGCTTCAAATCAACATTTAAAAGAGAATGAGAACAGGGACCCTTCAACTTGATCAGTAGGAATAAAACGATACACCAAATCCTACTGGTCTGGAAGGAATTGGAAGGGACTGAACGAGGCTGGGAGATTGTTGCTTGCGGCCTCCCGCCCAGCATTAGAAATTACAGACACGTTTATGGCCAGAGTGCGGTCCTGGAACTTACTCCTCCTTCGTCCATCCTTTAAGTCCATACTATACACAGTTTCTGGCACAAAATGGATATCAATATACATCAGTCGAGTGAATGTTTGAATGAATGAATTAAAGTAGCGCCAGCCCTAGGAAAATCACATAGCGGTACGTTTTTATACAAGTGAAATTAGATGACACTTAGCCTCCAGGACTCAGCCGGTGGATGGGACCTTTTGAATTACCAAACGACAGCCTGCGGAGGGTTTGTGTGTTTGTAATGGGATTGCTAGAGAGTAGAACAGCCCCACTCGTATTTCTTTCGTTTTGGTTACACAAGACAGGATGTGGGTAAGCAGGAATAATTTAACACGCTAAAATTTTTAGCATCAACTTGCAGACAGTATCTCTCCCCCTTCTGCCCCCGCCCCCCCTTTGTCCCTAGCCACTGCCTTTAGCCAGCAATGATTGTTTGGATTTGTTTCCTGTCATTCTACTCTCAACAGTGGCTACTATTAGGTTTACACCTTTAAAGATAATACACCACAAATTATTTAAGTGGCATCACTGTATATTCTGAGTCCTTTGGTCCAGCTGGGACTGTTTGTTCACAGTGTTGTTTGAGAATTCTAGGGCTTCATTAAATGCTGCATTCAAATGTGACCCTTCTAATGAGAAACTGTATATTTCTAGGAAGTGGCCTCTTATTGAAGACCAGTTATTCAAAGCTGCTGCATTTTAAAAGTTCAGGCTGATTATTCGGGGAATGCAGGCAATGGTTTAGTGGTTTTCTCAAGAGCACAACATAATCTTTGTGAATTTCTTGTGGCTCAGAATCTTGCTGCACCCAGAATTACTCAGGTTTCAGGAGGCTGCTTCACCTCATTGAAAACTTTAAGAGACTGATGTATTTAAACAAAGAGAGGGTAGTTTTTCTCATGACAATCAAGCACACGTCCCTTGTTCAGGGTCTCCCACCTTCTGCTAAATTAATAATCAGAGAATGTTTCACAGAATCAGAGCAATCAAAGAGATTTGGAGTTTTGAGGTATCTTTTATTAAGGCTGTGGTAAGATCTGACGGTTGGTTGCCTTGTTTTAGAATATATCACTCCAGTAACAGAAAATGTCACCATTTCCTTCCATAGATAGTACTGGATAAACACTGCCAACTTCTGTTTTTTTAACCATCAACGTTTTACATTCTGAGATAACCCCTCCTTTCTGTTCTCAAAGTCTCCTTCCGTCTAGAATACAATTAATCAAATAAGTTTCTGCGACTAAATGACAATAACAGTTTTCCAGATCCAGCTGTCTGAGATTATACCCATGTTTCCTTGTCTGAAGTTTGGGGTGAACTCAAGCTCTTCAATTGCATATTTACCCAAACATTCTCGATTTATTCTCACAGGTAATTGGGATTGCTTTTGTGCACAGATTCTGCTAGATAAACTCTAAATTGAGCTTATTTTAAGTTCCCGGGAGGCGCCTCACATTTGTTTGCATGTACTACCAACAAGCAATCACTTTGTGGTGGTCTTCTGGTATGTGTCAGGGTAAGGAGAAAAGGCACTGGAGGTCAAGTGAGTGTTAGAATGAGGGGCATTGTCATCATAGCAATGCTTGTTGGCTTTCCTCAGTCAGTAACTCATCCTCTCCTTAGATGCTCTGTGCTCTCCTTGCCCTGTTGTAATTACAGCACTTACCATAGCACTGTCCATGCTTCTGTATCTGCAAGTAGATCAATGGTTCTCAACCCTTTTTTTCTTCTCAAACCCACTTGAGGGGTATGACACAGATATGATATCAGTAACAGTAGCTCACTTTGGAACTTGCCATCCTCTCCATCCTCTGACCTCCTTCTTGTTAAAAAACCACTGAACTAGAGCGAAGTCAGGGACAGGCTCTACTTTTGTTACAAGCACCTAATGTGTGGCTGGGACAGTGCTGAATGAATAAGAGAATGCCTGAGGTCACCATCTAATTTGTGAGAGTGCCGGGGCTAGAACTCACGCAGTGCCAACTTCTAGAGTGCCATACTCTTCAACTCCTGCAACTTGTCTAGCTTTGTCTGTGAGTATAATGTAGTGTTGTTAAATTTTTTAAGGTTTTTTTTTTAATTTCACAAATAATAGGTAAGCATTCTCATTGTAAAAGTCAAGAAATAATTACCATTAATTAAAAATATTTTATATACTAATATTTTATTCAACATTTAATATTGATAAGATTTTTTAAAATGCAAAGCCTCATATCAAAATAACAATTTGAGCTTTAGCATCTATACTTATTCATTTATTCAATTATTGAGGCTGTTGGCATCATAGCTTTTATAGAGTTTTTGTGCTTGAGCCTCCCTCCCTTTCCAGAATGCTTTCAGGACTTGTAAAGGCCCGGCTTCTGGCTAAGAGACAAAGAAAATTAAGACAGCATTATGAATAATTAGACTTTAAAAGATGCTATTAGTGTTACAATTAGTTTTTAAAGAACACATTTACTCTTCATTGCAAAATTAAAATTTTTCCTTTTAAGTTTTGTACTCATTTAAATCAAAATGGCTCTTTCTTGAGAATAGTTACTGCTATTGAGTAGTAAGTGTTCATTATTTCTGTTTTGTAACCAGACTCTTATTGTTTCATGGTGGTGTTTTTGTTATTATATATCCAAGTTCTCATTCTGTTTTATTGTCTTAGGCATTTTCAATTAGTTAGTTATTTCAGTTGATTTGTATATGAAAGAATTTTATCTTTGTGGTTTTCTCCAGAAATACTGCATGTGAATGTTTCTCAAATGATTTATTTTGTTGAGAACTCTTCTTTTTTTTTCCCTATAGTGATCTTCAGATGAAAATGTAGCATTATTCTTCCCGAAATGAAGCATTGCTTTTACATTTGCTTTATTTTAGATTATCCCTCTATCTCATCTGGGATTAGATGAAGAGCCAGCAGGCTTTTTGTTGAAATTAATTCCACAAAGAACATTGAATGTCTACTATATCCCAGGGACTGCCTTAAATACTAAGGCTTCAAGGAGGAATAAGAGAAGCTCTACTCATCAGAAGCTCACGCTCTGAAGAGAATCCAATAGGTAACACTGTTAAAGCCATTTTGTGTGACGCATGCTACAGTATAGATGTCAGGGAGGGAGGTGGGGACAGGGAGGGATCTACTGGGAGTTCAAAGAGGGTGTAAAAAATATCTTTACAAAATAAAGGACTCGGCTGGCCAAGTGCCATAGTTGGTTAGAGCATAAGCTCTGAGCAACAGGGTAGCTGGTTTGATTCCCACATGGGCCAGTGAGCCGCTCCCAAGCTGAGCTGCTGCTGAGCTGCCAATGGGTGGCTGGATGGCTCAGCTGGTGAGAGCACATCCTCTTAATAACAAGGTTGCTGATTCGACTCCCACATGGATGGTAGACTGCAGTCCCCCGCAACTAGGTTGAAAGCGGAGACTGGACTTGGAACTGAGTTTGAGCCCTCCACAAATAAGATTGAAGGACAACAAGTTGACTTGGAGCTGATGGGTCCTGGCAAAAAAACCACAATGTTCCCCTTCCCCAATTCCCCAATAAAATCTTAAAAACATTAAATAAATAAATAAATAAATAAATAAATAAATAAATAAATAAATAAAG